GGGGGGGGTTCGGATAATTTGGGGGTTTAGAATGCGGAATTTAGAGTTAGGGGTTCGGATCCAGGCTGCGAGCTTCAGGATTCCTGTGATGTTTGGTTGTGTCCCTGTATACATGTGTGCTGGCACATCGACACGTGCTGTCTCTGTCGTTGAGATTCCGCCGCTGCTTCTGCTCCTGTTGCTGCTATCTCACACGAGGCAATAAAGCATGAGCATGATGACAGAGGTGATGATGATGGTTGTTGTGATGATGGCGACGAGGCTGACGATCAAGACTTTGACGCTAAGTGGCCTACCCGGATAAAGTGCTTGAAGTTCTCCCCCTCTCGCTGCCGAGATTTGGATGAATATGCGCGCCGAATTCGACTGAGCATCCTGCCCTGGTCTTGCCTTGGCTGAAAAGTCTTCGCTTGGGAGTGCCTGAGTTTCCCTAGCCGAGCTCGATGCGGGAAGCCGGGGATCTAAGGACTTTAGGAGGGAGCCTTAGTAGGGACCCTTAATCCCATTACCNNTAGCCTACAAGGGTCCCTATTAAGGGTCCCTCCTAAAGCCCTCAGAGATAGCGGTGGCTGCCTTCGAATTCCGCTGCCGTGTTGGGCTCCAGCTGCTGTTCCCGCTTTGCAGCGTTGGGAAGCCAAGGCCGGGGAAGCCCAGAGCCGGGCATCGGGTTCACCTGCAGTTGCTCCCGAGGTCCTTTTGACTATGGCGATCGAGGACAGCCTAGGGCCCTTCAACCCTACTTGTCCTTCTATGACTGTGATGGTGGCCCTAAGCCCACAGAATTTTTCACACGTTTATCCACTTTGAATTCCTTTCGCAGGAACTGGCGAACTTGTCCCAGGATGGTCCTGCGGAGTACACCGTGGCACAAGGTGTCTGCTTCATCAAGCCCTCGGAGGCCCGACGGAGGGGGGGAGGGCGGGAAGTTCGGGGTTAAGAATTTCTGTAGATTCTTCTAAACCCTAAACCCTAAACCCCTAAACCCTAAACCCTAAACCCTAAACCCTAAACCGTGCGCTCGCTGTCTTGAGGACCCCCAGTCCGGCAAGATCCTGAAGGCCAAGAGGCCCGTGGGGCCACTGGGCCGCAGCAGAAGGGCTTCCGGCAGGGAAGATCCCTGGAGCTCTTCGAGGGAGCCATGTTTTTGTTGTTTTGGCCCGTGAGTGGGCTGAGGTCCAAGATCTACACCACAGGCCGCGGACTTAGACTGGCGGCCTCCGTCGCCTAGAAGTGAGGGATGGTTTCAGAATCGAGGGATACGACTTTGGGGGTTTGGGAGATTGTGGGATGAACTGGTAGTGAAGGGCAACGGGGCCTAGCTAGGTCTAGGTCGAGAAAGCATGTTAGGGACAGGGCATTCTCCAGACTCCCCGTTTGGGGGTTGCCGAAAATAGGGGATGCGAATAGAGTACACTTAAATAGTAGAATCATTATTAAAAGGACCCCCAAGAAAGGTACCCCTTATTCTCGGAAACTCCCATGTCACGAACTTCCAGAGCCTTCCGTCCCGGCTCTGCTCTCTTGAAAGCTCCCAGCACTCAGCACCAAGCTGCCCTAAACCTCAAAGATCCGATCTGCTGGAACTCAGCCATTCCCGTAACTGTTAAAATCCAGGAAGTTCAAGGCTTCATGTCCCCAAGCCTAGGCCCGAACTGCCCCAAAACCCGAACCCCAAACTCTTGCTCTTTTCGCCTCGAAGGCACCACATGGAAAGGGCCGCAGGGCGGCCTCTGGGCCGAGGCAGTCTCGCTTATCACACTTGGGGTGTCCTCTTTTTTACGAGTGTCACGGCCTCTGACGCTGATGGTGACCTTTGTTCCTGTTACTGGCAGTCTCGTTTTAATTCCGTTATCACCACCAGTCGTACGTTCGGTTCTTGTCGTTGCGGCGCGTGCCATCCACTGTTTTGTCGATTCCCTTTTCGCCATCACCAGCATCATCATCATCATCATCATCATCATCATCACCATCATCGTCATCAACCTCATCTCCCTCCTTCTCCTCCTCCTCCTCCTCGTCATCGGGGTTATCATCATCATCTTCTTCATCTTCATCTTCATCTTCATCTTCATCTTCATCTTCATCTTCATCTTCATCTTCATCTTCATCTTCATCTTCATCTTCATCATCATCTTCATCTTCATCATCATCATGACCATGATCCTAGTACTAGTAATCATCATAGTTCTCATCGTCATCCTTACTGTCATCTTCACTACCATCGTCATTATCATTAGAATCATGACACCTATCATTTGATGGCTGTGTTTCTTACTCCTACCGGTGCTTAGTGTTTACGATGTGCACTGTTTTATGTTCGAATGTAGGTATGTATGCGGATACGTGCTTGGACACGTACGCAATTACATGTGTACGTGCGTACATGCATGTATGTATGTATGTATGTACATAACATACAGTATGGGTGTATGGGTGCATGGGTGCCTGGGTGCCTGGCTGCGTGGATTGGTGGATGCATGTATTGGTGGATGCACGCATGTACGTATGTATATATGTATGTCATGTCTGTACGTATATACATAGGTATGTATGCATGCGTGCACGCATGTATGTATCTATGCATGTATGTATGTAAGTATGTATAAGGCATGTATGTATAATGTATGTATGTATGTATGTATGTATGTATGTATGCATGTATGTATGTATGTTACAATGCATGTATGTACGTATGTACGAATGTATGCATGTACTTACGTATGTCTCTACTTCTGCATGTGCCGCTTACGTATGTCTCGACCTATGTACGTTTACGCATGTCTCTACTTGTGTATGTACGCATGTAGTACGTGTGTGCGCGTGTATATACGCATGTAGGTACGAAACGTACATATAGGTGCGCACGAACGTGCATGCATATGTGGGTATGTCTGCATGTAGGCATGTATATGTGTACTTGGGCATGGATACATAATGTGTACGCATGTGCTCATGTACACATGTACATATGCACGCATTCACATACGTACCTATGTACGTATGTACGAGTATACCTATGTGCATTTCAGCTGCAAAAGTATGTATGTACGTGTGTACGTACGTGGGTACTTGTGGGTAGGTGGGCGGGTGGGTGGGTGGGTGGGTGGGTGGGAGGCAGGGAGGCACGCATAGGCGTGTGTGTGTGTCACTGGGCCGAAGAAACCAGAAGCAGGCGCTCTGAGCGCTAGTCGTTTCAGGTGGATGTGGCGAGATCTCCAGGGGAGATGGGCGGCGCGGCAGCATGAAGATTGCGCTTCGGGTGTGGGTTCAGGGTAGTTAGTTCAGGGCTTTGGTGATGTGCAAGCTGCATCCCTCCACCTCCAAAATCGCACTTGTTCTATGCTGCAATCTGTACAAAGTCATGTCTCTCAGGGTTTACCCTTTGGCCAGTGGACTCCTTCCCAGGCTCCCATAAGCCTCCCCCAAACGAAATCCCGACCCACACATATATAGATAGATAGATAGATAGATAGATAGATAGATAGATAGATAGATAGACACACATCTGTGTGGCTACTGCGTATGTCTGTGTATATACTTGTAACATGCACCCCATATATATATATATATATATATATATATGACATGCAAGGTGCAGATATACATCGCATGTATGCGTACAAGGGGTATTAATCTCCCAGTCTCCCCTCTAGCTCCTGGGATCTCCAGGTTGGGTGCTGGTCTCGGGACCCGGGTTCGGGCTCAGGGGCCCTTGTCTGCGGGAGCCCCGGTGCGGTGCAGGGCTGTTGTGGTAGTTTGGTCCGAAAGTCTTCGTGGACTTGGGTTTGGGGGTTTTGGCAGGTCTTCTGGTGGATGTGTATCGTTGATATTTTGAAGGCTTGAGCTTGAGGCTTTTGGCCGACGTTAATAGCGTTTCAGCAGCTTAAGGAGAAGGGTTTGGGGTTCAGCATCCAGAGATGGATATCTGTCTGTGGGTCTGTCTGTCTGTTTTCTGAGTCTGTGCCGAAGCAGAGCTGCACCCAGGGCCAGACATCTGGCTGTCGGCTTCCTAGGATCGACCCGGAGGCCAACGACGGTGCTTCCCAGATGATCCACATCAGGCCCCTGCGAATTATGAATCTTTGCGGGTCTGGTGCTCCTGCTGCACCTGCACCATTCGGTACCGCTGCTGGCTGACGGATCTGGTTGGTCAGACGGTAGCAAAACAGCCACTTAAAAGTAGTTTCCCCCTAAACCCTAAACCCTAAACCCGAAAACCCATTTTGCCATTGTTGAAGGGTGACATTGGACACTAGGCGAACCGCCGCGGCCAGTGCAGGTGGCTCAAGGATCCCCCGATCTTCAACTGCATGATGCCGAAAGCCGCGTGGGCCTGCCGCTGTTTGGGAAGCAGCCGTCAATTTAGGTTGCCAGGATAAGCAGGGTTTGGGTTTTCCTCAATTATTGGAGCAAGCTGGGGTCGGGCGCAAGGATCTTGCCCCAAAGCCCTGAGCTAGATCAGTGTTATCTCCAAGAAGCCATCCCGTCTTGGATTCATCGGAAATCCCTCAAGGTCCCGTTGAGCTGAAGATTGCCTTCCTTGTTCTGTCTGCTCTCCCTTGTGCACTTGCCGTCCTTCGTTGTCGCACAGTCTGCCGCTACTTTTCATGTGAATGTCCTCCCAGAAGCTGCTGGGCGCTTAGGCTCGCCTAGGGCTGCATGCCAGGACTGTTGGTGACCTTGTGGACACATTCTGCTCAAGAACTGGTTTGAATCGCAAGGACAGCCTCGACCTTGCAGTAAACCCTGATCCTTTTGAGCAGGTCTGTGTTGCCCATCCCTGTGCGCTCAGAAATGCGGCCCTGCGCCCACTGACACCCTCAATCTTTCAGGGCTGTTTCGTCTCGACGGTGCGCAAGCTCCATCCCATAGCCCAAGTCAATCTCAAGCCCGCAAGCTTCTTGAACTCCCGTGGCACCTGAAGCCAAAGCTTGGCCCTAAACCCTCGAAAGACTTGATTCCTGTGGCCTTCCCGCCTTAAGAGACCGTTATCCTCGAACCCCCGTGCCGTCTCGCACAGTGCACCTAGTATGCTTGGGATCCCGAACCCACCCTTACACGAGAACCCATCTCAAGCCACCATCAGAGTATCCAAGACCTGAAGCTCACATGAGAACACCCCGCTCTCAACATACAGCTTCAGTTGCTTCGCCAGGCACAATCAGTTAGTCCTTGTCATCAGTGTTCGAGTCCTTTATCACCAACACCCTAGACCCTAAGCCCTAGACCCTAAACCCTAAACCCCAAACCCTAAACCCTAAACCTGAACCCCACGCCCTGACTGGAGCCAGCTTGCATCGAGCAGGAGACCATCCTCACCAAGGGCCTCCCCCGAAAAGCGCCGAACGGAACTGGCGCCCTCCTCCCAGTGGACTACACGGACCCCAAGGACGGAGCCATTTTTGGGGCTCAGGGAGCTTCTTGTCGGATGTGGAGATCATGGGGTTTCAGAAGTTCGGGCGTTGCCTTCGGGTCAGCAGTACTGTCACCCTTCTTGGTTCACGCTAGTTCAATGCAATGTCGATGGCATACGGCTGTTGTGCTGTGAGGATGTCCTCTTCCGAGAGCCACGCTCCAAGAAGTTGGAAGTTGGGTGCAGCTCCTTGATATTGTTGCCCTTGAGGCGGGTTTGCCCTTGGACCGGGTTTGCATCTACAGGATGACTGTCGTTGCAGGATGCAGCGCCGCTATGAAGTGCAAAGCTAAGCTTCTAAGGCAGACGATCGAGGAGGCACAGATCAGGGACACGCTGAACTTGGTGAGCGCCCAAGACAGCCAGTTTGTGCCAGCCGCAGCTCTTGCAACGGCATGTCGATGGAGAACTGTCCTGACAGCACGTGCCTGCCTGCGATCGTGCCACTTTTGCTGTCGCGTTGGCGTTGCATTGGAGGTGTACGTGGGACATTTTGATGAGGATTACAATCCCAGCTGAGAGTGGACCATCCCTGTCAGAAGTGCAGGCTGAACTGGCAATCGGGGCCAGCCAGTGCAGAGATGCAGACTGTGCTAGGGCAACCGATGATGTCAATATGCACCTGGCTTGTCAGGCGTAGGATAGGACGAGCTTTGTTATCTTCGGAGATTGAGTTTCGAACTCCGCGTGTACCACTTACGAGTATTCAAAAGGGACGACCAGATAGGAAGAAGAAGTGGAGGAAGAGGGCATGAGGGAGGGACAACAGAACCGAGGAATCAATATTCGTCGAATTTACCACCCAATTAGATAGGATAATATGTAGCATGATTTAGAATATAGAGTAGTATAGAATAATATTTTCACCTTCATTTCAAAGGCAAATAACCACAAACATACCAATACTTTCAAAAATATCGCGATCTTCGTAATTTCGTTCCGGCAGTCGTCGTGGGCAAATCTCAAATTAGAGAAAATATAGAAACAATAGATTAATTATTAAAAATTCGCCGAGACGAATTTAAAAATTCTATATTAAAAAAATGAAATCTATAAATTTACCAAAGAATTTTATATATCAAGAAATATATACTCCAAAATATTAAATACTATCTTTATATATATATATATATAGATATATATTTAGAAAATTAGATAGAATATATATATATATATATTTATTCTACTTATCTATAATTCTATTTATAAATATAAATACAGATCTATTATACGATATCGGATAGAGCATTTAAAAAATAAAGAAATAATAAAATTTTGGGGATTTCGAGTTTATACGAAATATTGAAAGTCTCGACAAAAATATGATTTCGTACCGGTCTAAATTTCTGAAAAATTCAATATTTCCGGGGATTGTCGTGGTGGGCGAGGGCATGAATATTATGGGAGTGATGCGGAGTGGGGTCGAGGGCATATATGTCGAAGTGAGTGTCGTGCGAGTTTGAAAGGCGTACTATGGAGTGATGGGCGTATCGCGGGAAGAAGGCGAATCGAAGAGAATCCATATATCGAGAATAGAGGGGGAGGACACGTCGAGAAAGAATATATATGGGAGAATTTCGTGGCTCCTCATGAGTGGCGGACGAGGTTGGGCGGCGGCATGCGCACGTCTAGGTCGTGGGGAGTATCGTAAGATGCCGGGGATGAGGTTCGAGCAGCATACATAGGGGGTTAGGGGATGGTAGAGGCATATCTATCTTGGGCGTGGAGCGGCGGGCGAAAATGGGAGAAAGAGGCGCGGGGATGGTTAGAAGAGAATCTTATGATATAAGAAATAATCGAAATATAGGTTCTGTGGGAATAATATATTAGGCGAGAATATTTAGGAAGGGCTTTAATTGATAGAATGAGGCGAATATATTGAATGATCGATTCAAGAGATGAAAGATATATTATGAAGATAGGGAAAGAATCTAAATAATTTCCGAATTCCAGAATTCTATAGATATAATTAAAAGATAATTCAATTAAAAGATTCGAATAAGATATTATAAAAATAAATGAAAATATTTTATAATAATAATAATATTTTTATTATAGAATACTAGATAAAGATTAGGATTACATAATTTTATTGATTTTTCAGAAAATAGATATCTGATTAATTAAGAAAAAATATATATCATAATTTTTTGCTCATTGATTTTATTTTTCTGAATTTATTTACATGAGATTGATTTTTGATATACATCTTATTCTTTTCTTATATTTTTCTATTTATATAATATATTTTTATCATATATTAA